GCCATATGACTGTGTGAATGCTTTAGGGGTATGAAGAAGCCCTTTAGTGCTGGAACGTAATGTTCGCTTGGTGGAGTGATCTTGTATTAAGCATGTGATGTAATGTGGTACGTTTTTATGCCTGGACTTATATGTAATCAAAAGAATCTTGAAAATGATCCGTTGATGAACGGGCAACCAGTGGAGTGAAAGAAGAATTGGGGTTATGTGCTCATGGCGTCTGGTTTTTGTAACCAGTCTTGCAGCCGTGTTCTGTATGCGTTGGAGCTTGTTAATTTCAGATTTTGGAAGACCATACAAGAGATTGTTACAATAGTCTAAACGTGAGGTAACAAAGGCATGAATAAGTTTTGTTGTTGTTGCTTGATATACGTATTTCCTAATTGAGCTTATTTGACGTAATGCCCTAAGAGAAGACTGACAAATGGAGTTCACATGTTCCTTCATGCCCAAAGTATTGTCTAACTTTACACCAAGGTTTCGGACAGATTGACTTGCTGATATAGTCGTATTCCTTATAGTGACAGTTTGAATCGTTGACATGTTTTTATTAAAACGTGAGGTGAAGTGAATGAACTTAGTTTTACTCTCATTGAGGAAGAGATGATTAGAACAAGCCCATGATTTTATGTGTTGGATGCATGTGATGACCCTTTTAAGTGCAAGACTTATATTGGAATGCGAATAATACTGTTTGTTAAGTGTGACTAAAAATAATTGATAGTGTTTGCTCAGCATACACACAAAAGAAGCATCTTTTATTTATCGTGCTAGCCATACATTTTGGCATAGAAGAAATTACAAAATACTGAATAGCATGTAGGCCTATAACAGTGTTAGATTAAATTAGACTAATTTCCTAAAGTATATGGTTAGTGCATTACCAAAGAAATCAGGTGCAACCGAATGTAGGCAACATAAAACTATCAGTTTAATGTGTCACATTACCAAAATGCTACTGTGAACCATCATGTGCAGGATAAGGAATAAATTAAGACCTAAGATCGGAATAGAAAAATGTGGTTTTGGGGGAAAGAACATTTAGTAACAACAGGGAAAATTAAAGAGAAAAGAAGTCGAGGCAGACAAAAAAATGAAATTGATAGATGGGTTGACATCCTGGTTAGCAAAAAAGAAGGCAAAACTCACTATTCAGAGGGCTAGTAACTGTATGAGATGGAGTGAAATGATCTTCTACACCGAGTGGCATGGCACCTGAGAAGAATTACGAGAAGCACTGTAAGGTTTCAATTTCTTCCCAATATTTATACTTTAATCATGCATCTTACATTATCAGTGACTTGTGTGTACCATGGTTATGACCAATAACTCTTTGCATTTGATAAAGTTGCATGCACGTAAAATAAGTCCATCCTGCATATCGATATATTTTTATTCCAGTTTTATGGCCGTAACTACGCGTCTCATACATTTATGTGACAATATGGTATGTATTATGTCAATTTCAATGTCTGCACTAAAGTTGCCAGGTGTCTAGATTCCCAACATTGAATCTATAAATATCAGTCTCACACTTCTACAGAGCAGTTTGTTAACGGTATTCACAAGATGTGTATATCCTTCTCTTAAGATGAATTTGAACAAGGTAAGAGCTGTTTGATGCATATACACAGATACAAAATTTAATTATTTACTGAGACATAGGCTTAGTATTGTTTTCAATCAATACCCTAACATAACAACTATCCAAGTATTAATGATTTTGTTTACTTGTTTGCACAAAATATTCAGGATTTATGTAAAAATTTGTAAATTGAAAAGTTTGAATAGTAGAATAAACTGATGTACAGTAATTTAATATACCAATTAAAACGACGAGCTCATATATTTCTTACTTACTTCTGATTAGTCATTACCTCTTGCCTAAGAGTCAAAAGAATGGAGTTGTATTGATAGTTAAGATGCTTTCTTTCTTTAATTTTTTAAGGCAAACAAAAAAGAAGAAACAAAGTTATTAAAAAAAAATATTAGGAGATTTCAGTAAAAATTTAAAGCTAAGGTTTTTTGATTTGGTGAAATATAATTTTCTGTTTTATATATATGTATTTTTATATATATTGATATGTTTTTTATATATATTTGGGTGCTAGAAAGATAAACATTATACATGAGTCTTTCATTATGAGGCTTTGGGATTGGACGTGTTTTTGATCTCCTCCCTCCTCACCCTTACTTTTTTCAATACTAATTGGGTATTGAAAAAAGTAAGGGTGAGGAGGGAGGAGATCAACAACACGTCCAATCCCAAAGACTCATAATGAAAGAATCATGTATAATGTTTATCTTTCTAGCACCCAAATAGAAAACCATGTCTGACACGAAAAGATTATTAAAAAATAAAATCTTGAATATTTCGGACAGTTGTTGTTAAGCGCATAGAGGCAGTTCTTGCAATATGCGCTACATAAATAGCAAATTATTATTATTATTATTATTATTATTATTATTATTATTATTATTATTATTATTATTCACCTTGCAAAAGCCAAAGTTCAGTTACCGAAAGCGTACAGATGTATCTTTAAGGGACACACAATAAAAATACAAGTAGGCCTAAATTAAATCATAGGAGGGAGTGGAGTTAAATAGCTTGGTGGTTGAGGTGCTTGCCTTCTAATCCCAGGTCGTGGGTTCAATTGCAGAGACAGCAAGCCGTTTTCTCACGACTAAAAACAACTCCACTCACTAAGACTCATAAAGAGACTTCACTGATAAAAGCATCACATTATTTCATATATCTACGGTTTTACTTATCCGAGAGAGGACTTTTTCCAACACCAGAACCATAGGCGAGCGTGCCTCTCAAACAAGCGCCGATGTTATATATGATTGTAGGTTGCGGCGCCCCTGCCTTATCTGCTCGGCCATTCGACTCACCATCAATGACGGTATGATGGTTTGCTGTCATTTACCTTTTCAGCAAAAGGTTCAGTTCTATCAAAAAAATACTGAATAAATAAAATGCAAACACCATGTATTAGGCATATACAAATAAAATACATCATAAATATAAGCCTATCTATAAAAACCTACCGAAAAGTAACGGTACAAACGCTTACTACAAGAATATGAAACAGTAACACTCAAAATTTGGCCGCGACCGGGGTAAGCACAGGCCTGGCACATTGATCTAGGCTTAGGCGTGTGAAATTTGTCTCACACAACAAGTCTCACCGGAAGCATTTTTTAAGAACTGATATGAACGTTATACATGCATATATCTACCCATAAAATACCCACATAAAACAGCTGCAGACATACATACGTATAACATTTATAATTATATACACATTTTGGTTAATTTGTTTTTATTAATTACAGATCTTTGTTGCTACGCTGTTACTTTGGCAGCAAGTCTTTGGTAAGATATTTAAGACAATATTATTTCACGTGTAAACTATAATTATAAGGTTTACCTTATAAATAATTTAGTTGCTTGAGTTTAACTTCGGAGTAGGTTGATAAGGTGAATGAACAGTCAAATAGCATTAAACCTTGATATCAATTAGGAAATAATTATCAGATCGACAAGATATCATCGTTATATACTTGTATAAGGTGAACACCTGTACAAGGTGAAGACATTTTTAATAATTATTGTTATATTTTTCATATTATTATATCTACAATATTTTACATTGAAATCAGTCTGATGATGCCTTTATTGCTTTTTTGTATAAACATTTTTATATTTAATTTTTATAACTATATTATTTATATATAGTATGTTGGCTTGTTCATATACACTTACATATGTATGGTAAAAATTATTTGGAGACGTTTCTATTAATCAATAATATTGCTCATCCTACTACCGAATTCAATGCTAACAAAACCACAAGCAGTGTAGACTTTTTGGACATCACCGTCACCATGGAAAATAGTATACTTAAAAATATCTCTTTCATAAACCCACGGACAAACATTTGTACCTTCTCCCTATCATCCCGTGCACTTTACCAAAAACATCTGTACTGCAAGGCATTGTGTATGAGGCGAATTTTTTCTTTGATTTTTCAAGAATCGGACAGAAGAATTATCCGGCCGGACACCTCTGGAATATAAATTGTTATCAACGACCCATTAACACTTCTATATAAAAAAGGAAAAGACATACTACTGTGACTGTCTATCACAAATAGGTTACCACCACTAAAGGCTTTAATTCAGAAACATATGCCATTCCTACAACCACAGAACGTCTTATGTCTCCTTCACACCGTTCTTAGCCTATAGCAAACGAATTATCCTTCCTGATATAATTATTAGTAAGACCTAAATTCAAGAGGCACATTAAACTCTTGTGACAGCAATAATTTGGGCAGTCATCTTTGTGGTTCATTATGCAACACATGCTCCTTGCTCGATTCTACACAATCACGTAAGGGCAACCTAACAAACCACATATTCGAGAGAAAGTAATCAATCAATTGTCTCACAATAAATGTCATTTATCTCATAATTTCCATTTTATTTTATTTCACACAACGCAAAATACAATATAAAATTCTTCAGAAAGGTAAATAAATAACAAGGGCAATGTACTCTAATTAAGTAATATTAACAACTTACTAAATTACAGTAAATAATAATAAGATAAGATATAATAATTAATATTAACAATAATAATAAAAAAAATATAATAATAATAATAATTATAATATTTGTAGTAAACATTAAGTGGGAGAAACAAAAAAAAAAATACTCTCCGCATGGAGAATGACACAGATAGGCAATCAAACATAATCTTGATTATTAACCATGGCATATATATATATATATA